ATATATATATATATATATATATATATATATATATATATATATGACATCTGGACATGCCTAGTAGTTAACGTCATGATGGTAATTTCTGGTTCTGCAGTGCTACAAAACTATTAACTTCTTACCACAACAAGAATAGCAATGTATAGTGAGAGAATTGCAAGATTTACTAGTCATTACTTTTGTAAATGATTGCAACCACAATTAAGAAATATTTTTTACATGAAAATTCAAATATTTTTCTATTAATCTATTAGTCTGCATTTACATTGCTTAATGAACATCTGTTTTGACAAATTATTTTTCAACATTTCGAAAACTGTTGTAATAAAATGAAGACATAAAACATTAACAACTTAAATGTTTTTCATGCCCTTAGCATGAAATGGATTATATATAGACTAGAAAGTGCAGGAAGGTGTCACTTCAGTTCATCACGATCTCACAAAGTTCCTTCATAATCAATGAACCTCTTATTTACATAGTTTTACAGTGAGAGGATTTGGGAGCGATTATTTGAATGGAATGGCCAATCAGAGGAGTTCACGAATCAACAGATCTGTCTGTGATTGTGTTTTTATAGCATTGAGCAATGTAGCCATTGTAAATAGAAACTTTTGACGTTCTCCAGAGCGCAAACACGAATACGCAAATACGATTTGGTTAGTGTTTACCAAATCTGTTTCGCCAATATCCTATTATGTGTATTTATCTTTAACTGTAGAAGCTGCTAAATATATTCAGCCAAGCTAACAGACTTGTTGTTGCTGTAGTTCGTTACTCTGAATTTATTCTGAACCACTTAATGCACAGCTCTGTTTTTGCCATCGGCTCGTCAGATGTTTTGTTCCATCTGTTGCTTTATCACGGTCAATCATAGAAGATTCACTCGCTTAATTTTTTACACTCGCTTTTGTCGTTCCTGAAACTGTATACGTGGCCGTTTGGTCCTCTTAGACAAACAAAACTTTTCCTCAAATTGTGAATGGATTATGGAGAGAAACCGAGCAAAGGGTGCTCCCCATATAGCACAGCTGATTTTGACAGTTGACCGGAAATGACTGAGCTGGCTTATCTAAAACCAGGAAGTAACCATGCATTATAGACAACTGCACCCCTAAAAGCACACGTACATCACGTCTAAAAAACGTTTAGAAGATGTCTTTAAGATGTTTATGATTTAGAATGAATGTAAAACTGACATCTCAAAGGTGTCTATCAGATGTTTGTACACAGCAGATGCTACCTGGATATTATCTGGACATTACTTTGATTACATATAGTAAGAATAAACATTCAGGAAACTTATACTTAATTTCCTGAAACTGTATACGTGGCCGTTTGGTCCTCTTAGACAAACAAAACTTTTCCTCAAATTGTGAATGGATTATGGAGAGAAACCGAGCAAAGGGTGCTCCCCATATAGCACAGCTGATTTTGACAGTTGACCGGAAATGACTGAGCTGGCTTATCTAAAACCAGGAAGTAACCATGCATTATAGACAACTGCACCCCTAAAAGCACACGTACATCACGTCTAAAAAACGTTTAGAAGATGTCTTTAAGATGTTTATGATTTAGAATGAATGTAAAACTGACATCTCAAAGGTGTCTATCAGATGTTTGTACACAGCAGATGCTACCTGGATATTATCTGGACATTACTTTGATTACATATAGTAAGAATAAACATTCAGGAAACTTATACTTAATATATATATATAATAATGCCTCAATAAAGCATGTTTTATTTTCTACACAAGCTTGGTATTTGTTCTTAGGAATGATGGGATTTAGAAATCAGACACACAACAATAATTAAAAAAAATATATATTTTTAATACATTTTTATAAATTTTAAGTGCTTGTAATTATTGAATAATCATTCTTATTTTGCTCATATATATATATATATATATATACATACACATTATTTTTTTCTGTCATTTGTTATTATCTATATTTTTTTTATCTGCTCTATTTTTATCTGTGCTCTATTTTATTTAAATCTGTTATCTATTTTTATCTGTGCTCTATTTTTTAATCTGTGCTCTATATTTTTAACTGCATTTTTTAAATCTGTGCTCTATTTTTTATCTGCACCATTTGTTTTAATCTGTGCTCTATTTTATTTAAATCTGTTATCTATTTTTATCTGTGCTCTATTTTTTTTTGATCTGTGCTCTATTTTTTTGATCTGTGCTCTATTTTTTTGATCTGTGCTCTATTTTTTTGATCTGTGCTCTATTTTTTTGATCTGTGCTCTATTTTTTTGATCTGTGCTCTATTTTTTTGATCTGTGCTCTATTTTTTTGATCTGTGCTCTATTTTTTTGATCTGTGCTCTATTTTTTTGATCTGTGCTCTATTTTTTATTATCTGTGCTCTATTTTTTATTATCTGTGCTCTATTTTTTTTATCTGTGCTCTATTTTTTTTAACTGTGCTCTATTTTTTTTATCTGTGCTCTATTTTTTTTTTATCTGTGCTCTATTTTTTTTTATCTGTGCTCTATTTTTTTATCTGTGCTCTATTTTTTTATCTGTGCTCTATTTTTTTATCTGTGCTCTATTTTTTTATCTGTGCTCTATTTTTTTATCTGTGCTCTATTTTTTTATCTGTGCTCTATTTTTTTATCTGTGCTCTATTTTTTTATCTGTGCTCTATTTTTTTATCTGTGCTCTATTTTTTTATCTGTGCTCTATTTTTTTATCTGTGCTCTATTTTTTTATCTGTGCTCTATTTTTTTATCTGTGCTCTATTTTTTTATCTGTGCTCTATTTTTTTATCTGTGCTCTATTTTTTTATCTGTGCTCTATTTTTTTATCTGTGCTCTATTTTTTTATCTGTGCTCTATTTTTTTATCTGTGCTCTATTTTTTTATCTGTGCTCTATTTTTTTATCTGTGCTCTATTTTTTTATCTGTGCTCTATTTTTTTATCTGTGCTCTATTTTTTTATCTGTGCTCTATTTTTTTATCTGTGCTCTATTTTTTTATCTGTGCTCTATTTTTTTATCTGTGCTCTATTTTTTTATCTGTGCTCTATTTTTTTATCTGTGCTCTATTTTTTTATCTGTGCTCTATTTTTTTATCTGTGCTCTATTTTTTTATCTGTGCTCTATTTTTTTATCTGTGCTCTATTTTTTTATCTGTGCTCTATTTTTTTATCTGTGCTCTATTTTTTTATCTGTGCTCTATTTTTTTATCTGTGCTCTATTTTTTTATCTGTGCTCTATTTTTTTATCTGTGCTCTATTTTTTTATCTGTGCTCTATTTTTTTATCTGTGCTCTATTTTTTTATCTGTGCTCTATTTTTTTTATCTGTGCTCTATTTTTTTTTAATCTGTACTCTATTTTTTTTTAATCTGTGCTCTATTTTTTTATCTGTGCTCTATTTTTTTTATCTGTGCTCTATTTTTTTTATCTGTGCTCTTTTTTTTTATCTGTACTCTATTTTTTTTTATCTGTGCTCTATTTTTTTATCTGTGCTCTATTTTTTTATCTGTGCTCTATTTTTTTTTATCTGTGCTCTATTTTTTTTTTTATCTGTGCTCTATTTTTTTTTTATCTGTGCTCTATTTTTTTATCTGTGCTCTATTTTTTTTTATCTGTGCTCTATTTTTTTTTTATCTGTGCTCTATTTTTTTAATCTGTGCATTTTTAAAAATGTGTGCTCTATTTTATCTGTGATCTATTTTTTTAAATCTATGCACCATTTTTTTTTATCTGTGCTCTATTTTTCTTTTTTTAATCTTTTAAAAATCTGAATCTGATCAAATCTAAAATGTTCTATTTTAATTTAATCTGCCATTTTTTCATTTTTTTGTCTGTTTTTTTGCCCTGTAACTTTAGTTTTCGCTGCAGCACAAGGTCGGCATTGAGGAACACCAGGTGCTTCAGATGGCCGAAATAGGGCTTGATGCATCTCACCTTTATGACGTGATCAATGGCCTCCTCCACCATCATGTCATGGCAGATCATCAGATAAGCCAGAAACAGAGTCGCCGAGTGGCTGAGGCCCTGTGTGCAATGAATCAACACCTTACCTGGAAAGAAAAACAGAATGACGGTCAAAAAACATTGCCAGACTGTAGGACATTTGATGAAAGATAAGAAATTGAGTGTGCGTGTGTTGTGTGTGTGTGTCAGCTCTTACTTGTTGGGTTCCTCAAGGCCTTATGGATAAATTTGGCTGCTGGCAAGAAGCACTTGCTGATGTTGGCCCAGTGTCTGAACGAAGGCAAGCCACAGTAAGTGATATTCATGCCTCTGTAATATCTGGACCCTGTATTGACCGTTCCTAGTAGGTCTTTCTGGCTTGCCATTCCCAACAAGAACTTCAGGTCCTTCTTGGGCGCTGCAGCGTTTAGGATATGCGTAATTCCCATCTCCTTCAGTTTATCTCGGTCCCATGCAGTCTCTCTGCACAAAAACACAACAGCCTAGGTTGGTCTTTCGATTTACAATGAAATGACAGAGCTTTTAAATCAATAAGAGAAATATCATTGTCTTTGGTACTCCTGCAATACATTATTAATTCAACACACCGTATTTATTAGTAGACTACTTACTCATTTCCAATGAAGACCCTGGGCCAGACCTCAGTGACAGGAGTCTTGGACAGTGTACATTCCCTCAAACGATCCTCCAGCTGGGACACGTTTAGACGGATGTAGTTTTCCAACCTTGAAAGCTCTGATGTCACTTCAGGTTCTGGCTCGGGAACACTTGGATCTGGTGCACATGATTCCTCTGGATCAACCAGATCCACTTCAGGTTCTGGCTCGGGAACACTTGGATCTGGTGCGCACGATTCCTCTGGATCAACCAGATCCACTTCAGGTTTAGGGATACATGATTGCTCTGTATCGACCAGATCCATTTCAGGTTCTGGTTTGGGAGCGCTTGGATCTGGGACACACGATTCCTCTGGATCAAGAAGATCCACTTCAGGTTCTGGCTCAGGAATGCTGGGATCTGGGACACACGATTGCTCGATATCGACCAGATCAGTTTCGGTTTCTGGCTCGGGAGCACTTTGATCGGGGACACATGATTCCTCTGGATCAAGAAGATACACTTCAGGTTCCCCAACAGCATTCAGTGCATTTGTCTGGAAGATTGCAGTCAATCGCTGGAAGACTGCACTTATTTTCTTGAACATCCACACAGCAGTGCTTTCTGAAAAAAAGAAGAAAACAAACTAGATAAGAAAAGTTTGATAACAAACTTGACCAAACCCTTGTCTGACAGTTTAAAATAAAAGCTTGAAGTTTAAAGGTTTTACTCAGAGAATTCAGAGAAAATCAAAAAGTTACTTTAAATCCCATTAGACCTCATCTGACTGCTAAAAACCACATTAAAAACCAATTAGACCTAGGAGTCCTGTTGCTAGCATGTAGTATCTAACAATTTTGAGCATATAGACAGATAGACAGAGTGGATCAACTATAAACAAGTCATTATGGGCAAAAGTTTTTACCCCCGAATGGAAATCTATCAGTGTTCGGGCCTGTTTAGAAGCTGGCTACCGGAATTTTGTAAGTCGAATCGGTTAGAAAAGATATAGCAACAAAATTCCGATCAGCCTGAAGGTCCCTGCCAAATTTGGGGGTCTTAACTTGAAAGCTCAAGGAGGTGTTACTCTTGGAAAATTAGGGTGTCAGAAGAAGTGGATAAATAATAGGAAAACAGTATTGCATCTTTCTCAAGCCAACATAATAATACACTATCAGAAACATCTCTGACCACAAGAATAAACATGAATAAGACATATAAATGCATGTCTTCACCTGTCGGGCTGTTCTCCTGATCAGTGGCCTCTGGGTCACTCAGACCTTCAGACACCAGCGCAGGGCTCTTCAGCTCAGAGACGCTGCCGTTCCTGTTCATCTCCAGCTGCAAATCTTTCACTTCACAGACTGAGATGTCCTCATTTTCATCAACTTCCAGTTGCACGTGCATCTCTCCTGGACTGCAGTAACCGACTGAGACGTGATCGTCCGTCACAACCTCCAGCTGCACATCTATCTCTTGAGATGCGCTGCAGCCGAGAAGGTCGTAGATGGCATCAGAGATCTCAAACCCCAGCTGCACATCTTTATCATCTGATGCCCAGTAACTTTCCCCCGAGTAGAAGGCGCCGTTGAGGTAAACCTCCAGAAGCACCTCTCTCACCTCTGTGGACATTGTGTCTGGTGTTCTGATACTGACACTGACAGATCAATAATCAGTATTTAACAACGTAGTTTTCAAACGGACTGTTTGTGTCTATAAACTGTATCAAGAGACTCAATAGGACTGGCGTCTAGCCTATAGTTGTAAACTTACCCTCAAACTCGCCTGAGCTCTTTGTCATTCTCAATTTATATACCGTGCTCTGTGACGTCACCGACACGTCACAACTCCACAGTTGCCATAGCAACGGACTGTCAGCTACCGCCAGCGAAGACAGCACAGCAGCTTGCAAGTTTTCTCCGATTCTCTAATTCTCTCAGAAGTGCTTAAAGAAATACTTCAAAAACACAATTAGCTTTGATCATATTACACGTACAGACTGGATTTCAATCGATGCACTGGTTTTTAACTCTTCATAGTAGTTTGCTGCGATGCGAACTCTCCGGCGCCACAGCATTAAAAACAATCATTTTTACCCGATTATGAAAATTATCCGGTTCGTGCGCTTGCGCGTGCCTCAAAAAAGGGCTTACAATGACTTACAAAGATACATAACAGCTACAAGTGTATGCACTACTTGCTTTATGCAAGCACTACATAGGATAAATCACTATACAGGATTTACCCCATTATATTTTATCGACACGAATTGATAAGTGAAACAACAAACAGCCACCCACAAATAGTCTATATACAAAGCATGAGGCTGTCTTTGAGTTCACATGAACAACGGTTAAAGTTACTCGTCGTCAGGCTACAGAAGAATACCATAATTCCTCTGTTCAGTTATGCCTAAGACATCGCAGACCTATAACAACCCAGCCACAACACATCATTGCGAATAACATGCCTTACCTTAACACAGAATCGACCACAGAGTCCAGCGTTTATATTTTTTCTACGAATCTTTGAGTTAACATGTACTAAACATGAGTGGAATTTGGACCACAGCGCTCCCACACCTCGATGCTCATGACAAGAATAGCATGTATAGTTATCTTTATTGAAGCGAATTAAATTTAGATCAATTTTACACATAATAATCCATGATGATCACATTACACAAAACTGAAATTGCACGTCAAAATAACACATTGTCAATAAATCAAGTTTTCAGGGGAGCCCATGTCTTTATTAAGGGAGCCGAGCTCCCCCTAGCTCCCCCATAGTTCGCACCCTGGTTTTAACATTAAGTGGCATGACATCTGACGCACAGATGCCAGTGGCGCATGCCGCTATGCTCAGTGACACTTCCGGTTTTCAGTGGCATGTATCACTAAAACTTGTGACACATGCCACTGTCCACTGACACATGCCACTGAAAACCGGAAGTGTCACTGAGCATAGCGGCATGTGCCAATGGCAGCGTCTGGTCATGATTCATTTTCACTCTCGTTCCTGGTTTGAATCAGTTTAACGAATCCCTGAATAAACTCTTCAGTGGTTACTGAATCAACATCTGATCTGAACTAGAAGTTATCGCTCCGTTTCGAAATTACGCGGTGGTATAATATAATACCACCGCGTAATTTCGAAACGGAGCGATAACTTCTAGTTCAGATCAGATGTTGATTCAGTAACCACTGAAGAGTTTATTCAGGGATTCGTTAAACTGATTCAAACCAGGAACGAGAGTGAAAATGAATCATGACCAGTGTGTGTATATATATATATATATATATATATATATATATATATATATATATATATATATATAAACTTGATATTATATATAAACATATATTATGTATATATCAACATCTGATCTAAACTAGAAGTTATCGCTCCGTTTCGAAATTACGCGGTGGTATAATATAATACCACCGCGTAATTTCGAAACGGAGCGATAACTTCTAGTTTAGATCAGATGTTGATATATACATAATATATGTTTATATATAATATCAAGTTTATATATATATATATATATATATATATATATACACACACACACATATATATATATATATATATACACACAGTGGGTACAGAAAGTATTCAGACCCCCTTAAATTTTTCACTCT